AAATAGACCACTCCACAGTCGCCTGCTGCCTCCACCAACGCCTTCTCATCAGGTGAAGAAGCCTAAATTTTATGCAGGAATTAAAAGGAAAAAAGTGTGTCGAAATTATTTGACATCTCTGATAGAAGCAGGGTAACACATAGCAATATTCAACATAGCTTACACTTTAACTTACGCAATAAATGGGTGGCTTATGATCCAATTTGTCGGGGCGTGAACGCACTTCCACGGTGTGACACAAAGCGGCCGCCGTGCAAAATTTTAAAGCTTTGTCTGTTAGAGTGTTCACTTGTGATGGAACAAACCGATCAAAACGATCGTATTGCATTTCTGAGTTATCAAAACTGTCATTAAATGCTTCATCTTCTGATGATGATGAAAAATATTCATTTTGTTTTTCTGCAACACACGTGGGCCGATTCGCATGTCCATTGAACTGATTCCAAAATTTTATTCCATCTTTCAGAGAATACAGTCCTCTATCCCTTAAAATGTAGGTATTTGGATCGCCGGGCAGAGAAAAGGCTCGAAACTGCATTTTATTCTGAGTAAGTGTACCCGTTTTGTCACTGAAGAGGAACTCAATTTGACCGAGCTCATAGGCTAAGCTTGTTGCATTTACTTCACTTTTAATATTGGTTGATTCGTCATATAGTTGAATATCTTTGGAAATATAGATGGCCAGAAACACATCCAGAACGTCCAATGTAAGGATTATTGAAATAGGAATTAAGTAGTTAAATAAGAATGTGAGATTAAAGGCTTCCTGTACAACCTTCCATGCAGTGATCGGACGATAATTCAGATACCAGCCAGATCCCGCAGGAGTTGCCCTCCACGCAAATTGAAGTCCTGTGTATATGACGGTCAATACAAACAGAGTAATCATAAAAGCAAATAAAATCGCATTAAGTCGGGCAGCCGTGGAAGAAATTTTCCGTCTACCGTTTTTAGAATTCAATGATAACTTTGTGTCATAGCCTGTGTAAACGGCAACACCCAGAATTAAATTTGGTTGACGTAATACTGCTCCACGCAGAGCTATATTTTCAATGCCTAACGCGACGGAGGATTCATCATATTCACAGCGGCCTTCAAAGGAATGGAGATCTCCCGTAGGACTCTGACAAACAATTGTTGCCGGCCGTAACTTTATGTTTTCAGAAGAGCCGTTTTCCAATGACATTAATAACTTAAATTCGGACTGAGTTGACGTTACGGAGTGCATAGTTTTAACAGAGGACTCTCCATCCAAATTGTCTGTGGTAATGTGAACTGTTCCTCTTTTGTCGCTAGATGACAGAATCACTAGGTCGCAAGGAAAAGAGTCTTCTTCGTGGCAGAGGACTATATCACCGACTTTGATTGCCTCTGATTTAATCTTTTTCCATTCATAAAAACCTCCATTCGAAGAGGGACGCCAGACCTCAAAGGCCAATTTATTAACCATAGCATCACTTTTATGTCGTTTAATATCATCGATTCC